GTTCACATGGACGGGGTGCGATTGTGATGCGGTGCGGAATTCGTACTGAAAACGCTGCGAATTCCACACTACATCAGCGTGAACCAGGGCTGAATGATATAGGGCTGTACAGTGGCTGGTTGGCACTTGGGGTCCACGGGTTGAATCCCAACTAGCACACTGTCTGCATGGAGTTTGCATGATGTGCTTGTGTGGGTTTCTTCCATACTCCAAAGACATTCTGGTAACTGGTTCCTGTCTAAATTGTATATGTACTGTATGTGAGTTAGGGACCTTGGATTGAGGTTAGGGACTGATGTCGGTGTACAGTATATAAAGCACTGCATAAATTGTTGGTACCATTGAAATAGCTGTAATAAATAAATGAGGCAGCAGATTGGGGTGGGGGAGGTCCTAATGTAGGCATTATTTTCTTCATGGACTTGCCATCTGCTAATATGCACTACAGCGTTCAGATCCGGAGTCTCACCTGTGTAGTCACGGTTGGTGTAAAGAACAGTTGTGAAATGTTTGAAAACAGAATTCTAAATGAGATTTCCTCCTCCAATCCCGATGTCACTTCTATTTCCAGCAGCACATTCTAATCATTTTGCTGCAATTGAATTATTTTTTTATTACGATAGGTAATGGCATTTCCAGCTAGATTTCTCCGGCTCCAATACTTGTAATAGCCGAACCCATTGAGTAAAAAAGCCCATGAAAAGGACACAAATGTCAGCCGTGTACATGAGCAGAACGGGAAATACGCAATGCTCAGAGTGGAATATCGGCCGCATAGACTGTCTCACAGCTGACACTAGAACCAGCTCTGCTGATCCATATTTACACTGACCTTGTCTGATCAATGTAAAAACATACTGTATGTCTGCGCAGTCTGTCCGCTTCACTGGATTGTGGACATTTCAAGACGGCTTTTCCACTGTCATTCAACCAGTCCACCTTTTTATTTATTTATTTTGTTTTTGTGGGATTCTGGTTTTCACAGTATCATTCACCTTAAAGGCATGGTCTGAGCCTAGTGTGCCGTTACTGCAGCCATTGAGCACCCAAGGCGCTGCCGGGGTGTCCGCTGAGCACCCATGAGGCGCTGCCGGCGTGTCCGCTGAGCACCACGGGGCGCTGCCGGCGTGTCCGCTGAGCACCCGGGGCGCTGCCGGCGTGTCCGCTGAGCACCCGGGGCGCTGCCGGCGTGTCCGCTGAGCACCCGGGGCGCTGCCGGCGTGTCCGCTGAGCACCCGGGGCGCTGCCGGCGTGTCCGCTGAGCTGTCCCGGGGCGCTGCCGGCGTGTCCGCTGTGCACCCGGGGCGCTGCCGGCGTGTCCGCTGTGCACCCGGGGCGCTGCCGGCGTGTCCGCTGTGCACCCGGGGCGCTGCCGGCGTGTCTGCGCTGTGCACCCGGGGCGCTGCCGGCGTGTCCGCTGTGCACCCGGGGCGCTGCCGGCGTGTCCGCTGAGCACCCGGGGCGCTGCCGGCGTGTCCGCTGTGCACCCGGGGCGCTGCCGGCGTGTCCGCTGTGCACCCGGGGCGCTGCCGGCGTGTCCGCTGTGCACCCGGGGCGCTGCCGGCGTGTCCGCTGTGCACCCGGGGCGCTGCCGGCGTGTCCGCTGTGCACCCGGGGCGCTGCCGGCGTGTCCGCTGTGCACCCCGGGGCGCTGCCGGCGTGCCCGCTGTGCACCCGGGGCGCTGCCGGAGCGCCCGCTGAGCACCGAGGTCAGGAGCAGATGATCTTTCTGAACACCGACTCAATGACAGCTCATGGCCATTGTATATGATTGGGAGTGCCCGCTGAGCACCAATGCAATACCGGTGTAAATGTTATTTATGTTTTTAATTATATCTTCGAGTCACTGACATCCTGTGAGCTGTAGATAGAAAATTGATGAGTTCCTCGAGCCTAAAAGGGTTGAGGAAAGCTGCAGTACTAGTGGTGCACCGAAATGGAAATTCTTAGACCGAAGCCAGAAAATTTAGGATGCGTTTGGCCGAAATCCAAAACGGACCGTTATTTTAAAAAATATATATATTTTTATATATAATTGTATTTGACTTCTTAATGAATCTGAATTTATTTTTAGCACCTTTCAGCCAATAGGCTGCAGGGTGGATTTGATTTAAATCAAGTTGATTGAAATCACGATTTAAATCGCTAGTGAAAAGGCTCAATTTTAAATCCTATCATCATTTTGAAAGAGCAACTGTCATCTTTGTCCCGTAGCGGCTCCTCCTCTGTCCCGCTGTTGCCTCACCAACAGTCCCATTCACTTTAATGGGACGGCTGGTGATGCGGCAGTGACACAACAAGGTGAAGGACGTGGCGGCAGCAGGGGAGTGGATGCCCGCTAACAGGCGCTGCCATGATGGATCTGAAATGACAGGTGCTCTTTAAATGTAAGGAATCACTCATTCTTGCTGGTAGTTAGAATCTTTAATATTTGCAAACCAAATGAAGGTTTCCTTTCTAGAATAATAAGCTGTCAGGTTAGCAAAACGGAGATATGAGAACCGATTTTAGGTTAGTAGGTTAATCACACATAGCTGGAGAACAACTCAATTTCTTTTATTTCATGTTTTTTCTCATGTTTACTGTGAAATTGTGTGAATGCATCAATGCAGTGCATGTTATCTCAGCTTGCAGAGCTTGGATTCATCGAATGAGTTTACCGAAAATGGAAATATTGCAGAATTTACAGCCTCATGCTACATATCTAAGCTCCATTTCATGCTGAATAAACTAAATTATTAATGTATCTTAAATAGAAAACTATCTTTAGACAGATTTTGTACTCCAAAAGCATTTTATTAAAATACATTTGATAAAAATCAAAATAATCCGATTTAAACTAAAAAGAAAATCAGATTTTTTTTTTTCCTTTTTTTTCCTTTCTTTTTTTCCTTTTTTTTTTTTTTTTTTTTTTTCCTTTTTTTTTTCCTTTTTTTTTTCCTTTTTTTTTTCCTTTTTTTTTCCTTTTTTTTTTTTTTCCTTTTTTTTTCCTTTTTTTTTCCTTTTTTTTTTTTTTTTTTTTTTTTTTTTTCCTTTTTTTTTTTTTTTTTTTTTTTTTTTTTTTTTTTTCCCTTTTATATCCACCATGATGGGCTGTTTTCACAAATGCATCCCTTCAAATTCAATTCATATCTTCACACTGATCCATTGCACTTCCCTTGCAGTGTTTAAAAATCCTGCTTGCCACATTTTTTTGTGCATATTTTGGTGAGTTAAAAAAAAAAAAAACCACAAAAACCGCACCTCCCCATTGGGGACTGGTTCACACCAATGCGTTTTTAAGGGCCTTTTGCAGAAATGCACTACAGTCAATTTTTTTTTTTTTTTTTATTTTAAATTTATTTGTAAATTTTTCAATATACCAATTTATATACAAACATTATAACAATCATCATATAAAATTCCAATTTAGCTATCTTTATATCAAGACTATTAACTTTCATCTTGGTATTCTTTTCCTCCTAGACCCCTCCACAGTCAATTTAATATGGATTCCTGTGGGACATATTTACGTCTATGCTTTTTTGAGCTTCTTCATTGTTAGAAAGGGTCATGGACTTGAAACGCGAAAGGTTGCGTTTTTTGTTCAATAGACTTCAAGGGAGACGCTGCAGAAAATGCATGTAGTGTTTTTGTTGCGTTTTCACGTGTTTGTCACAGTTTTGACGCGGAATGCTTTTTTAATCTGCCCAGCAACAAGTTGGTCCCCCTAGAAAAAAAAAATAATTTTTATTAAACGCGCATGCAAAAAAAACACTGTAAAGTGGACAACATGCAAACTGCATTGGTGTCAACCAGGCCTGAAATGCATTGAAAACGTACACGTGGTGTATTTTTGATGCATTTTCAACAAGTTGGCCAGGAAAAAAAACATTTAAAAAAAAAAGTATCAAAAATGCACATGCAGAAACGCAAAATACGGTGCAAAACAGACCAAACACAAAAAGCACCATAGGACATGACAGGTGTAATGGCCTCCTCCTTGTATGGGGGACCTTCTAATATGATCAGTGGGTCTTGTGGGAGAATGGGCATCCACAGACAGAAGTCTGTCTGCTACAATACCCTAGTATTAAAATTCAGGGGGGCAAATTGGGGGGGGGGGGGGGGTCAGAAGCAGATGATCTTTCTGCACACCTACTCAATGACAGCTCATGGCCATTGTATATGATTGGGATGTCTGCCTGCAGCTGCCAGCACTCAGAACCATTCGAAGAGCCGGATCTTTTCTTTCAGCGCCTGGGTCACACATACATAGTGCCTTTCCAGAGGGTTAAGTGGTGGAAGCTGCAAGGTGCGCTTGTCTATTTAATGGTAGCTGTTGGGTACTTAAGTGTCACTAAACCCACAACAGTAAAACCGGTCTGTATATGCAGTAAAGCATGCTTGTTATACTCACTGTGGAACCTACGGGGTTGATCCTCTGCGTTGTGTAAAAATGCTGTTTGATCCTGTCTTCTCTGATCCTCCCCTTCTTCCATTGTCCCCCTCTTATCTCTTGATAAGACATATCATGTGGAGACGCTCATCACATGCTCAGTTTGTTGTTTATTGCTAGAGGGGTTTTTTTTGGGGGGGAGAGTGCATGTGATCAGCATAGGGCCAATCAGCACTGTCCAGACAGAGGTCAGGGGTTCTGCATCCACCTCAAGCAGTGGCGGGCATCTGCGGCTGTCATGGAACTACATGTCCCATGAGGCATTGAAAGGCTGACAGTTGCATCATGACTCGCAGAGGTATGATGGGACTTGTAGTTCCACAACAGCTTGAGGGCCACAGTTTTGCCCACCCCTGACCTAGAGCAAACTCCTCCTTCAAGCTTTAACCAGTGCTCTGCTGGACACTGATAGAAGTCACAAGACTGCTGTAACTGCTGATGAGAAAATGTATTTAGCAGTTTATATTTACTAAAATAATTGCATTTCCATGTTGTGTGTACTGTGGGAGACCAGATATAGTGAATGCAGGGTCCGGGGAGAGACCAGATATAGTGAATGCAGGGTCCGGGGAGACCAGATATAGTGAATGCAGGGTCCTGGGAGACCAGATATAGTGAATGCAGGGTCCTGGGAGACCAGATATAGTGAATGCGGGGTCCTGGGGAGACCAGATATAGTGAATGCGGGGTCCTGGGAGACCAGATATAGTGAATGCGGGGTCCTGGGAGACCAGATATAGTGAATGCGGGGTCCGGGGAGACCGGATATAGTGAATGCAGGGTCCGGGGAGACCAGATATAGTGAATGCGGGGTCCTGGGAGACCAGATATAGTGAATGCGGGGTCCTGGGAGACAAGATATAGTGAATGCGGGGTCCGGGGAGACCAGATATAGTGAATGCAGGGTTTTTAGTAACAGTTTTGGGAAAGAGGAGCGCCACCCAACAGGGGAACGTTGCACCTTAACCTCCCTGGCGGTATTCCCAAGTGTAGCTCGAGGTAAAGTTTCAGCACCACAAGCAGTAACCCCGAGCTACACTCGGGAATACCCTGCAGCGCTGCTCCAGGATTTCTTCTTCACTTACCTTGTCCTTCGCTCCCGCGATGTCCCTCCTGCAATGTCCTCCGGCCGATGCCGGCATCTGTCTTCCGGGTTCCGGTCCCTGCGAAGGCAGGACGTACGGGGACGGAACTGGCGGGAAATTTCAAAATGTCAAAAAGTGACATTCACTAAAATCACATAGTAAAACATTACTGTATCAAACCATTTCACATACATTTTGTCCCTACTGCTTTGTGCGGCGCCCTGCCTGCATTTTTACTGTTCTTTCTGCCTGGAAACTGAGAAACGTTCATGGAGTCCAAAAATCGTCCCTTTAGGTCAAAAGCGGTTTTAGACCAGCTAGAGAACAGCGATAGTAAATCAGAACCACTTGCAGAATTGAGTGATAATGATTCGTGGAGAAATTCATCATCAGACACTGAAAACGATTCTGCGACTTTGCTCAGCGATGTGCGAACTTGGCGCTATATTTCAAATTTCAGTGTTTTTGGTTTGATTATATTATTGAATTACATTTATTATTATTATTTTTTATGATTTTTAAATTATAATTTATGATTTTGTGTTTCAAATTTTATCCTACCCGGGATGTTTACTAGACTCTTGTTCGGACAGGTTTCAGTGAGTTATTCCTAAGAATTACAGGCCTACAATAAAAAAAAAACAAAAACATATTTCCATGCAAAAAAGTACCGCTTTGAGCACAGAAATATGGACATAATCAGACCGCTAGGGAGGCTACAGACTGGTCCTTCGCTCCCCGTTAAGGATTGGAACCTTTGGGGAGCATGGAGGTGGGGAGCAGGTACCCAAAATTGACAGGTACCTGCTCCCACTTCCTCTGCGATCGCCTAGGCCAGGAGTGTCAAACTGGCGGCCCTCCACCTCCAGCTGTTGCCAAACTGCAAGTCCCATGAGGCATTGCAAGATTGACAGTTACAAGCATGACTCCCAGAGATAGAGGCATGATGGGACTTGTAGTTTCGCAACAGCTGGAGGGCTGCCAGTTTGAAACCTCTTGCCTAGGCAATCGTAAGCAGAAGTTGTCCTACAGTTTTTGTAGCTGCTGACTTTTATGTTTTTACAGTTTGACTGGAGTTCCTCTTTAAAGGAAATGTGTGGTCACTTCATACACTTTCATTTTATAACCCTGGCATTGTAATAATACAAACAAGGAATAATTGGAATACAATGTGGAAATGAATATAGGATCTTACATTGTGACCATAGATACACTTTAACAGGCGGCTCTCAGCCTTGGTTCATACTACTGCGACCCCATTGTCATGCAAATGCAGCTTTTATGTGACACTGGAGTCTAATACAGGCCATAGATGGGTCGAACATCGGCCGATTTTTCAAATGATAAACGAAAAAAACGTCAAGCCGACGTTACCACCGATTAAAAAAAATTGGCTGACTAAATCATAAAGTTCACCCCATATAACAGCCAAATTCTGTCCCTTGCAGGTCATGGCTCATGCGCAGATTTTTTATCGTTAAAACGATCGGCCGATTTGGCCATCATTGCCGCGCAAATCGGCTGTTTTCCGCAAATTTTCCAACATGCCTGATAATCCAAATTTGCAAAAAAACCCGAAAACTGGCTGACCAATTGACCCACTAACGGTCCGAAAATCGGCTGATTTTTCCTTCGGCTGAAAAATCGGCCGTTTTTCGAACCATCTATGGCCAGCATAAACGTCTCTGGTCACACTGAAGGCACAACAAATTAGTGCAGGAACCTTTTTAACCACCTCCTGCTCGCCATATAGTAATATGACAGACGCAAGGTGGTTCTCTAGTTCTGGGAGAAAGTCATATAATGTCCTCCCTTTCTCACCGCGCATGCGCAGCTCCCGGAGCGCGCAGCGTGGCGATCGGTGGTGCACTGTGTCCCTCAGACACAGCGGATCACCGATCACAGAAAGAGCCCAAGATGTCGGCTCGGTCATGTGATCAGCTGTGTCCAATCACAGCTGATCACATGTAAACAGGGAAATTCCGGTTATCGGCATTTCTCTCCTTTCGAGCTGTCACGCTGACAGCTCGAGAGGAGAGTCGGTAATTGGCATTTCACGGAGGGGACATGTACACTGATCATCAGGGAACTGATGATCAGTGTATCCTGATGATCAGTGTAGCCCCAGCAGTGCCACCTGTTAGAGTCCATAAGTGCCAGCAGTCAGTGCCCATCAATGCCACATATCAGTGCCCATCAGTGCCTACCAGTGCCCATCTGAGCTGCTTTTCAATGTCACCCATCAGTGACAGTGCCACCTATCAATGCAAATCAGTGCTGCCAATCCGTGCCAGTCAGTGCCGCCTATCAGTGCGCATCAGTGCTGCCTAACAGTGCCAGTAAGTGCTGCCTTTTAGTGCCCTTCAGTGATGCCTGTCAATGCCCGTCAGTGCCACCTACCAGTGCCTCCTCATCAGTGCAGCCTATCAGTGCCCATCACTGCAGCCTCATTAGCGCACATCAGTGAAGGAGAAAAATCACTTATTTACAAAATTTTATAACATAAACTAAGAAAAAAACATTTTTTTTCAAAATTTTCAGTGGTTTTTGGTTTGTTTAAGAAAAAATAAAAATCACAGAGTTGAATAAATGCCACCAAAATAAAGCGCGATATGTCCCAAAAAAATTTCATATGGGTACAGTGTTGCATGACCGCGTAATTGTCATTCAAAGTGCAACAGCGTTGAAAGCTGGAAATTGGCCTGGGCAGGAAGGGGGTATAAGTGCCCAGTAGGCAAGGGGTTAAAAGTTGCATTGATTGGAACAGCCGCCTTTGAAATAAATGTGTTCACTGTTTATGCGACTTTGTGTGGCAGCAGTGTGAACAGTGGCTCACAGTTGTTTTCTCAGCACTGACCTCTCCTCCCTTTGATCTCATCTTGGAATTGGTGGTTCTCGTTTTTTCCCTCTTTCTCCGTCTTTGTGATCTTACAAAACACAAGGGACGCAACGTTTCCATCTCCAAATATGTCCAATGAATGACGTCAAATCACCTGCAGACATGCAATCTGCTCCTGCCAGATGAGTTGTCATTGTGATTGTTATTTATATTCTCCTGTAGGAAAATGAAAGCGTTAAGGTTGCTAGAAGAAGGCGATGTTGCTCATAGGCGTTGTGTGATTAGCATATAAATAAATGTTTGCGACCAATAGAATCAAAGGGGGGAAAAGTCTAATCTCTGATACTCCCTTTGTTTCATTGTGTCTGCTGCCGGGAAAAGCTTTTGCATTATTTCTTTGTAAAGATTAAGAACGAATTCTCGTCTGTTTCCTCGCTTTCTTTCCTGTTGATGGCTCTTTAGTCATAAGATGAAAGTGGGGAGATGGGATTTGTGGTTTGTCAGCTTTGCGTGGTGTACCGTGATCACAGCCGACGTTGGGGCCCCGTGTGCAATGGGTGTTCAGTTCTAGGATATGAGGCTTTAGGTGTGGGCGGAAGGCAGGTGCATCGTCCGGCCCCAATGTAAGAGATCGTTCAGAATAGGGTTGCTGATCCGAATGCAGATCGCTCTTCAGAGAGCATTTGATAGGTGGTGGGGAGGTATTGTATCACCTGCTCACCGCCTGCTTTAACTCCTTGGACCTTGCACTAGTGGGCCACAATGCAGGGCAATCGGAGAGCAGCCCTATTCACTTGAATGGGTCACAATTGGCAGACATTAGCACCTGCCAGAAGCAAGTGTGGCCGCAGTGAACCTGAGCCGACTTTTATGCTCCATATACACCCGGTGTTTTGATAACGCTGGTAATGTTAGCTGTGTAAAGTAAAAAACGTGAGGTTTTCACCTTTTTTTTTTTTTTTTTTTTTTTTTTTTTTTTTTTAGCGGTTTTGTATCAGCGTTTAGCTGCGTTTGCATTTTTGTATCAGCGTTTTAGCTGCGTTTTTCCCGCGTTTGCAGTTTTTTAACTTTTTTTTGGTGGGAAATTGGTGAAGGGTTGTTTATTTATTTTATTTTATGTCAGTTGCTTATATAGCGCCGTCAATTTACGCAGCGCTTTACATATATTGTACATTCACATCAGTCTCTAACCCTCAAGGGGCGTACAATCTAAGGTCCCTAACTCACATTCATACATACACATACTAGGGCCAATTTAGACAGGAGCCAATTCACCTACCAGCATGTCTTTGAAGTGTGGGAGGAAACAGGAGTACCCGGAGGAAACCCACGCAGGCACAGGGAGAACATGCAAACTCCAGGCAGGTGGTGCTGTGGTTGGGATTCGATGTGTGTGTGTGTATATATGTGTGTGTGTGTGTGTATATATATATGTGTGTGTGTGTGTATATATATGTGTGTGTGTATATATATGTGTGTGTGTGTGTGTATATATATGTGTGTGTGTATGTGTGTGTGTGTGTGTGTGTATATGTGTGTGTGTGTGTGTGTATATATGTGTGAGTGTATATATATGTGTGTGTGTGTGTGTGTGTATATATGTGTGTGTGTGTGTGTATATATGTGTGTTGTGTGTGTGTGTGTGTATATATATGTGTGTATATATAGTGTGTGTGTGTGTGTGTGTGTGTGTGTGTGTGTGTGTATATATGTGTGTGTGTGTATGTATATATATGTGTGTGTGTGTATATATATATGTGTGTGTGTGTGTATATATGTGTGTGTGTGTGTGTATATATATGTGTGTGTGTGTATATATAT